TATGACCTGTAAATCTCTAAATGTTATTTTAGGCTCCACTGAGCAGCAAGAGGCGGTAATCTGTAAAGTATTTGTGACTCAAATGTAATACAGAAAATGTTAGTTTTGAGAGTTATTAGAAGCCAGGAAATTAAAAACTGAAAAATGTAAACCATTAGTACCTCCTGCTTTTTCTGTTATAAAAATAATACAGGGTTTCCTAGCTCAGTGAAAAACAAAGAAAAACCCCTTATATTGAGAAGAATACAGGAAACAAATAAATAAATAGAAATTGGGAGGAAGTGAAATCATTTCTTATCACTGATGATATAGTAAGGTAATATAAAAACTGTGCTCATGCCTTACACACACACACACACACACACACACACACACACACACGCAAGTACTTTGGGCAAATTAAAAAAATTTCTTCCCTTGCTCATAGAACTTTCCCCATTTATCCTCATCTTCTGGCCGCTTCTATTCCATTTTTTTTCAGAGTTGAATTCGGTGTGTGAAGAATGAGGTAATTATTTCCTGCTCCTTACACCAGTTTCCAGTAGACAAAGTACTGTGACACCTACATATTACTTAATCATCTTATTGATCCTATTTGAATTGCCATGTAGTATAATGTCTATTTTACAGTCAAGAGAACGGAGGCTACAAGGGTCCAGAAATCGATTCCAGCCACACGGTGAGTAATGACCAGAAGCCCAGCTTTCTGAATTTCATTCTAAAGCTCTTTTCACCATTTCTGCGGCAAGCATACGACCCCTTAGCACAAGAACACATGCAAACAATAGGTAGCACCAGTTCCATACCAAATTCTTCCTATGGTATTTACAAGCATGGGAGTGATGTGATTTAAAAATAACACAGTTAAAAATAACATTTTAAAAGTCTCTGTATCCATAATGGAGAACGCCCTGGCAAGTATCTAAAGTATATGCTTGCCTACCTGTCAGATTTCAAAGGATAAAGGGTTATTCAAAATATTCGAAGAAATAGAAAAAAACATCTTAAAATGCTAGGGACTAAGGTCCAGCCTAGAATATTCATTTAAAAACTTTTCCTGGTGTTGTAGTAAGCAAATGGCAAAGGGAAGCTCCAGGGGAAAGTAAGTCATACAAGACCCGAACTGAGTCAAGACTAGGGAGAGAGACAATAGGAGACTGCTGCAGAATCTGGGTGCAAAGAAGTGGCTGTGTAGACTATAAGAAGATGGAGGAAGAGCTAAGTGGGGCTGATCAACTGGCAACTGTAGAGGGAAGAAGTTAAAGAGGGATTGACTGTGGGGAAGAGGAAAAAGGAACCCAGCACACCTGGTTGGATGATGATACTGTTTTCCCAAGAAAAGTATGATCTAGAAAGAACAGGTTTGGTAGAAAAGTGAGGTCACTAGGTAGCAGAAACCAATCACTTTATTTTGAATGAGGCCATATTGAGCTGTGGATTAGACATCCAGCATACAGACAGGGGTGCCTGTGGGTACATGAATCTGGTACAGAAGAAGCCAGGGGCTGGAGAGATATCTTTGTCAATCCTTGTCATACAAGGCATGTAAGCTGTGATGACTCTGTACAGGGAATAAGAATGGGCTGGGCTACACAACAGACTCTTGGCTCTCTTCAACATACCGAAGTCAGAAGAGACTGTTTTGGAAGCCTTTTTCTCCAGACACCAAGGCCTGCAGAACCGATGATTCAGGAAAAGAAGATTCGTCCGCTACTCGTGGGAGTGGATCTTCCGGTGGATATAGGCCCATCTAAGGCTAGGGTTTGTGAGCACCTTTGTAAGTCCCTCAGTGCTAGTGGGGGTTAATGAGCCTTGGGTACTCGCTAGCATGAGGAAGCCACTCTCTTACCCAGAAAGTCATAAGCTTTTTCCAATAGACTGTTGAATAATACCGTAAAACGTACTCTTAATGAGATATGTGGTTATTTAAATCCTGCCCCGATGACTAGCATAAGAAAGTTTTCAACTCCTGTCTGACAGCACAATCTAAGGATCTAAGAGCCTCACCTTGAAGCAGGCAGAAGGTCACCAGGCACTGTGCAGGAAAGCTTCTACTTTAGGAAAAGTGCCAAGATAGCAGCCTAGAGACGATGCTGGGTCCCTGGGCCAATACTGACTAATAGCAGACTATAAGTGGAGATGATTTTTTTAAGCTCTTTTACCTGTAGCAACTGAGTTTTCTAGATGTAGAACCAATAGCATCATTTTAATTTATCTTTAGGAGTCAGGGGATATAATGAAACATGGCTCTGAATTAGCAGAGTTGAAGGATAAATATTATGCTCACCTAGCATCTTCTTTAATTTCCTAGCTTTTTGAGGCAGGAAATGCTTGATTATCTGAAATTACTTATGAGTTTATTGTTTAGGGCATATACTGTCCAGTTAATATTGCAGCAAATTATAGGAGCTGTCCCCATAACACAGCAAGAAGATCTGTGTCTTGATAAGAAGCATTTATAGCAATGCCGGGAAGCCATTTCAACAACTAATGGTTCGGATGGATTCTCCCCAAACAGGTTTTCGTCTCTCTAGATATCTACCTGGGTTCTGAGTTGGGCTTTAGGACCCAATATATGATTCTTTAGGCATCAGGGTTAACTATAACCAACATTTCACATTCCAGAAAAAAAAATTAATCACATGGCTGTTATGCGCTTCAAGTGAATTTAATAAAATGTAATGAATGAGATAATACAGAGGCACCATTTGGAATGTTATTTGTAGGTAAGAAACATACTTAGGAACAAGGATTTAAGGTTGGAAAAGTATTCTTTTTCCATTGGAAAACAAGGGATACATTTGGTAGAACGGCTGCTGCCTTTGCAGCAGGGCAAACATGACATGACAGTTGACATCTGAGCCCCCATTTGCCTCTACCGTCATCATTAGCTCATTTTCTCCTCAAGGGCTGTAAAGCCAGGCAAACAGTGTATGCTGACTCAAAAGTCCATTTGAGATAGTAACTTCAAAGAGTGCTTCTGGAAGACGGACTTAACACATCCTTAAGAAGAGAGGTAAAACCCCAAAGTGTATTTTCCTATCTTCTCCTCAGATGGATACGATGATGCTTCATTTCTTCAGTTATAAGATAAGATATAAATATTTTAAGTTTTCTTCTTGTTTGGTTAACTTCTGGTATGTTTTGGTGAAGAAAAAAAATGAGGCCAGATACAGAGCTACGGGAAGAGAGCTGGGTTTGAGAGAGTCTGCTCTTCTCTTAGACTCATGGAGAAGACTAATGCTGATGATCACAGAGGGCACAAACACATCTCTAAATTGCTGCACTGTCCAGCCACTGATTGGATACCCAAATCATCTGGAGCCTCTTCAACAGGACCCTCTCAAGTGATCAGCCAGTTGTTGTGGCTGATTAGCATAACTCTGCAGACTTCATCATGGCCAGCTGGGTTATGCAAGGTAGCTATAGATTGGTTAGACCATCCTAAACTATTCAACCTAAACAGTAATATTAAGAGCTGCAATTTTATTGAGTGCTTTCTATATCCCAGATGCTTTACTGGATACATAATTTATGCCCCAATGTTTTCTCCAGTCTTAACCACAATTCTGTACATTAAGTATAGTGCTAGCCCTGTTTTAAATGAAGAAACTGAAGCTCTGAGTGGTAAACACATCTTTGTCACTGAGATGATAAATGAAGAATAACTGGTAAATTGTGGTGAAAACATAGTCATATTTCATTTAAGAACACTTAGGTCAGTGACAGATTGTCGTACATGAGCAGTGGTCCTGCAAAGTTACATTGCCTGGTGACATCATAGTCATATTAGTTGGAGGAAGTATACGCTGATGCTCTTGCAATAATGTAGTAAGTTAATTGTGTTTTTATCATAATATGTCACCATCATCAAGTGAAGCATGACTAGATGTGATAGATACCATTCGTTTTCAGGCTCAACCCAGAAGCCAAAATGGCAAGTTTTAGAATCAGGACTGTGGTAGACATGGAAAGTATATGATGACTGGCTCCATCAGCAGGACTGTATTTGTTGCCAGTTCTGCCTTTGGAAAAACCCACTGATTACCATTCTTAGTCTGCTACTTGTTAGACTAAGTTATCCTTGATGTCTGTCCAGATGTCCGCCAGTCCTGGGGAATAAATCCAGCATTTCAGTTATAATAATGTTTGATGGTTTACCAAGAGTCATTGGTGAATTAAAGCACATTGTTCTGAGCTTTAACCATAGGTTAAAGCTCCATAGGTTGTAGAGGGGTCTCAGACTTGGGTATTTTTTTTTTCAGTAAGTTCCTAGGTAGTTCTTGATGTCTAGCAAAAACTGGGAAATTGCTGCTGTTAACATTTGGGGGTGATGATGTGTTACTAAGATATCCTAACTGAGAATTTTGAATAAGCCTAGTTAACTACAATTGTAGCTTGGAAGTAAAATTCAACTTACAAGGAGTACATGAAGCTATGCCTGCACAAAGCTATGTCCACAGAATGTATACTTAGCTTACTGACTTTGGACAAGATTACTTTTTCCTTCTCTGATCCACTTCTTACTTATTTTCCTTAATATCAGGTTCAACAAAATGTTTTTCAAGTAACCAAGAAGTGTGTCTCAGCTCCTCCCATGAATACAGAGTTTCACGGAAATCACCCAAACTTTACTACGTATATACAAGACAGAAATTTTGTTCTTTCAGACTCTGAATTTTGTGGTTGTGAAAGTGTTTTATGTAAAGGGAGGCTGATCTGAAAAAAAAAATCGATCCATCAAACAAATCTGCTTTCTCCCTGCAGGCGTGGAGACCCCTCTAGAAATATGTTCCTGTCAGTATGATGATACCAGCCAGCTTTATAACCTTGAGAAGTGCCAGTTCAACAGGGCACTTGATAGAGGCAGTTTTTGGATCTCTCACCCTTTCATAGGACTAGTTTCTTATCACAGCCCTCAAAACTCTAGGAAGGAAAGAGATTTAGAAAGCAAATGAGCTTCTGATTGTGGAGGAATGATACCTGAAACAATCTTTTACCTGGCACTGAAGTTCCAAGGGCGACAAACACGACCGCAGTCACAGAATCTTTCAGGCCAATGGTGCAGCCAAAGTGTGAAGCCAGGTCGCCAATGAAAGCTGTCAAGAGGCCAATCATAACAATGGAGACAACGAAGCAGGCCCAGCCATTCCAATATTCGGTAGGGGGGACGAAGGCAAATAGGACCTTCCAGAACACAGTCAGAAAGTGCATCACGTAGTCAAAACAGGAGGGCAGCTTCTCCTCCCCACATTCATCATCATCGTCATCCTCCCCTAGAGAGAAAGGAATGGAGCACATTTTATTACAACCCAATTTCTCCTTATTAGGCCCATCCTCTCTCCTCTCTGAGTGGCTGGGGCCATGACAGGTATGTAAATCTTAGGGTTTACCAAAAGCCAATCGCAACAAATCAATGGAATTCTCAAGCTACTCAAGCACTTCCTCACTGTGGCTCATTGTTTAGTAGCAAAAATTTACCTCACCATGTCTGCTTATGTACAATCAATGTAGCCTTTCTACTCTTCTATCATCTCTAGTAGGATTTGTCGTAAAAGGGTTTTTTTTCCCCTCACAGTTGGAAAATGAAAAAGAAATATCTTTTGGAGACAGACAATTGTGGGCAGAGTTCTACCAGGCTTCTGTTCTTCCAGCTTGAAGACCATCTCTTAGGATTAATAAACACCTACAGAATCAACAGTAAGGACAATAAGCAAATGAACTGGAGTAAGGCACACGACCCATAGGTCTTGTACATTTATGTCCTGTAGCTATTTCAAACTCAAACTCTGTACTAGGCAAATAGGATTACTTATATTTGATGACTTTTAAAGCCATATGGATTCTCTCTGCTTTTTTTTTTTTAGTTCCTTTAGAACTAAATCTTTATCCTTCCTAATTCATCCTTTACAATTTACTCCCGTGGAGCTCTCTCTGACCTTCCTGTACCACAACCTGCTCAGAGCCTCTATGGCTCTGAACTCTTGGAACTCAAGATCAGTTCGTCTCAATGGGTGTTCTCTGTGCCAGATGCCCTGGCAGCACCAGAAAATGTATTAGAGACGCTGATGCTCAGCCCCACTGCATTTGACACTGGGAGAAGCATGCAACAAAGAAGCTTCAACAGGTCCTCTAAGAGACGGTGATGAATGCTCAGGTTTGAGAACTGTTGTGTTCTCTAAACAGTTCCTGCTTATTTTCCTCTCTTCTCCAGCTGACTATGTGTTCTTCCTTTTGCGTCCCTAAGGTTTTGTGCCATCTTTGTCACTTCATGCCTACATGCTTCTTAAATGAAGAAATGCATGATTTTAAATTATTTTTACTTGTTTTTTTGTGGCTTTCTTTTCTTTTCTTTTTTTTTGAATTGGGAATCCCAAGCTGTCTTAGAATTCACTAGGTTGGCTCAAACCTGTGATCCTCTTATGTCAACCTTCCAAGGGCTAAAATATAGGCATGTACTACTTCATCCCTCTGTCTTGCTCTCCTAATTTTATATTATTGTGGGATGATAAGATATACATACTCAGAATATAAGTCCCCAACTAGAAATATACAAAGAAATGCAGAAAGCTTGCTATTTAAAGACACTAGGAATTAAATAATAATCTAAAAATGCAGATTTCATGTATCAGGTGAAAACCATCGCCAATCTCATGTCTTAAAATTAGGATCTTTAATGTCGTATCTTCTTGAAATGGGAGAAAGTCTATGCTCACAGGGCTTGTGACCACATTGGAAAGAACTGTTGCTTGAAGATTTTGTTCGTCTATTCCAACTGGGAGCAACTTTGCTTCATCCAATGATGAAATAGCAGGGTTAGTAGAAGAGCGGCAGGGGGGATTGTTAACTCTCCAGTTGACCGTGTGGCCGGAAATTGCCAGCGTGGAGCAACTGCACTCCATGGTGAGAACACATAATGCAGATGGAGTGGGAGAAACCTCTGAGCAAAACCCTGCTTCTCTCAAAACATGGGGAGAGGAGGATCTGGGTCTGCCACTTATCATCTTATAGGAAAAGAGAAATGCAATGCTTTTCCATGGGCACCTGGTCAGAATTAGGGAAATAGGAAAAGCAGAAGTAATTTTGAAGAAAGGCTTTGCAATGGCCCCAGTGAGACACTACAAGAAGATTCTAGCAGATGTGTGGAATCCCCTTTGGGAATACTTGGGGGGTCACCTTTGGGGAGCTTGAGTCCAGCCAGCTGACTGAAAGGTGGGAGTAAAAAGCACTGTTGGCCATATCTTCCAGGGATCAAGGCTGCAGGATGAGTTGTCATTTCTAATAAGCTTGCCTAAGTGCACCTGATGTGGGCTGCATTTTTTTTCTCCTGCATATTCAACTGGTGAAGTGCTAATCCCCAATAAAGCAGAATGTGATTTTGTTTTGGAGTTAGGACATTAAAGTGGTAATTATATTAAAGTGAGAGTCTCTGAGTGCACCCTAATCCAATCTCATGAATATTATTTTGATTACTAGTGCCTTGCACCTGTAATCCTTGCTACTCAGGAAGGTGAGATCTGAGGATCTCTAATTAGCCATCATAGGTGGGTCAAGTGGTAGAGCATCTGCTTTGTGCATAAAAGCTCAGGGATAGGGTCCCAGGTTCTTTTACAAGCCCCAGAACTGGCATAGGGATCAAAAGTAAAAAAGAAGAGAAAAGGAAAGGTCAAAGAAAGTGGACACATCAAGAATGTATCTGTGGGGGAGGGAAAGGATAGTAGGAGAAAAACAAAGGCGAGGGTAATAATGCTTGACAAGAAATGTACTCAATCCCTTACTCATATAACTTTAACCCCTCCGTACAGCATCTTTACAATAAATAAAATTTAAAAAATGTGTCTGCACATTGCAACACAGTACAAAGCACACTGCAACAACCACCTGAGGATACAGCAAGACAGATATGTGCAAACTAAGGGGGAAGAGACCTGAGCGGAAAACAAGCTGTTGACAGCCTATCTTGAATTCCCACCCTCCAATAACTGTGGCAACATTTCTGTAGTGCAAACCTCCTACTCTATAGTATTTTCATGATGGCAGCTGTGCAGTCCATTGAAAGCCTGCTGTGCTGTGGCATTTAACTCGCAGTGTATGCCAGAACTTTATATGACTACTATATGCCAAATAAACGCAAAATTAAAGCCGGGCACTCGTGGGTCATGCCTGTATACCTAGCTACTAAGGTGACTGAGATCTGAGGGTTGCAGTTCAAAGCCAGCCTGGGCAGGGAAGTCTGTAAGAGTCTTATCTCCAATTAATCACTAAAAAGTTGGAAGTAAAGCTGTGGCTTAAGTGGTAGAGCAAAAACACTCAGGGACAGTGCCCAGGCCCTGAGATCAAGCCCTACACTTGTCTCTCTTGCTCCAAAAACAAACAAACAAAAAACAAAAAAAAAAAGAATTCAGGAACAGCCACTTTTTTTTTTGGGTGGTTGTTGTTGTAGTTGTTGATGTGATATCCTTTCACTTCTCATGTCTCTTTGACCTTGCAAGTTAGCTCCTGGTAGAAGTCAGAGCTTATTCAAAGTATGGAAGAAGACCCCATGTTAATTATGTTTGTGTCTCCTCTCCTACCCAGTCTCTATTGCAAAAGTAGGTGGTTGTGGCGTTGATGAGGTAGGTATAAATAAATATATACATGTATATATATACATATATATCAAAGCTTAAATGCATTAGAGTTTCAACTTATTTTTATTGTGTGTCAACCCTTTTAGATTTGTGGATGTTTTGTAATTTCTTAGTGTATTTAATTAAAATTCAAAATTTTTAAGAGTCATTCTAGAGGCACAGATTATTCTGCCTCTGAAGCTACAAAATTACTTAATTTGGGGTGGCTGAGTCTCATATTTTGAAGATGAACAAGAAAACAAATAATGAAGCTTCTCAGAAGAAAAGACACTTACAAATTGAGAGTACATATCATATTTGCTTTCAAGATGGAAATAATAACACCTTTCCCACAAGGGTTGAGAAAGGAAATAATCAGATCATCTTTGCACTGTCTGAGGATGTTTCAAAGTAATCATTATTGTGGTAGTTATCATTATTTTCTACCACTTAGGACTGTGGCTGTGATTCCCCATCATTATCTAATTGCTTAGCTAACAGGCTGCATCCTAAGGTTACATTTTAGGATTTTTGAAACCAAGCTTAATCTTTTTCTCTGAGGCTAACTTCATGAAATTAACTTCTGTTAATGAAAAATACAAGTGTCTGTGTGTGTGTGTGAGAGAGAGAGACAGACAGACAGAGATAGACAAAGAGAAAGAGATTGAGAGACAGACAGAGATAGAAAGACAGAGAAACAGACAGACAGAGATAGAGGCGCAGAGGGAGAATGGAATCTATAATGTTTTAATACTTAAATCCGGAATGAGAGAACCATGTGTTTTATAGCATTTGAGAATAGAAGTTATTTCCCATCTTTTTCTCTGGGCTCTCACTGAACTTTATAAATTTTAATCTCCAACCGACATGTCATTTAAATATTAAAAATGACCAATGCCTACCATGCATGCTGCACAATTACTCTGTCTTAAGGAGGACAAAGAAATATGATCATCCATCACCAGCCGTACTATACTTAAAAGCCTGTTTCTTGCACAGAGCAGTGGGACATTAACACACCCCTCCCTAGACGCTGAGAGCATCTTTTATGTGACAGCAATGATGATAGTAATCTGCTGCTTCTGGGTGCTGGCCAGCTTAGGGTTACTGGAGGCTATATAATTCTTTCAAGTCTCCCCTCAATGTTAGCAAAGAAACAGGCAAGATGGTGGGCTTGCTTTTTATAGGATCCCAAGTAAATCCTTCTTATCTCAGAATCCTTCTTTTCAGCTTTATGGATTCCACTAATGGAAAGATAAACAAGCTGCATTCGATTAATCCTTCTTGTAGCCTTTTAAATGGCTTCCTTGATACATGTTGGACTTTCTAAATATCACTACAAAAAAAAACCCACCTCAATCAAATCATTAAAGGGTGCAGATAGTGGAGAGAGTTTCACTTCAATTACTGATGTAAGAGACCGGCCACTGCCCCTGCTCTGCAGTAACATGAGAACAAAGGTGTCATCAGTATCCTAGAGAGCAACCCTTGGGCTTGGCACCTGCAGAGAACTTACCTTCTGTTGTACACAAGCATCTGTAGAAATCTCCCTAGAGGCTCAGGGTTTGACTCTAGGAAGAGCTCTGAGAACCAGAAGAAAGAAGTTGCTGGGATTCAGTGGACATTTGGGTCAGGAGCCTTCAAAGTCAATTTCTAGCTCTAGTAGC